AATCGTGAACTGTGTTTTTAATTTGATTGAATAAGTGAGATATATCTACTATTCTTCTGCCTTCAAGAGCGCTATACAGTAATTATATACGTTAATGATAGATAAAAAAAATATTGACTCAATAGATAACATTATATAATTTTTATTTATTATAAATAATGATTATAGTGTACACAGTACACAACATAAATTTAATATACTTAGAAATCACTGTATCATCATCAGATGACGAATCTACACATAATTGATGATTTTCGACATCAGTCAAATTACATAAAAGTTCACCAAACACTAAACTACTTTCTGCTTTTGTACAAAGACGTTTTAGGGCAATGTGTCGTAGGATCAATTTTTGGCGTACTAGTTAGCATAGCGTTGGTGAAACTGCAATACCTCGTAAGTCCAAAATTTACTTTTTTCAGGAGACACATAAATGTTATAAAATCAATATTTTTCTAATTTTGCTACAAATATGTGAAAATAATCTATAAATTATAGTTATATTTTAATTATTTTATAAATTAACCAATTATTATTATTGATAATTGTATTTATGACTTACGAGGTATTGTAGTTTTCATAAATGTATGCGACATACTAGGTATTAAGTAATGGGTTTTTACTATAGTATGACAAAAAATTCTGTCATAATAATTTAAGATTTGTTCTATAAATTGAATAGACAATAATATAAAATATCTTTGTTATCTTTATTAATTAAAATTTAAACAAATGAAAATAAAACAGTTTATGTACTTTTGTATTCTGGTTCAGTATTGAACATTTCACTGGTAATTTTAGAAAAAAGAGCATAATTTTCATTTAAAATTTATTATTAAAACAAATTGTTTACCTCTTATTACAATTTCAGTCTTGAACAACTCATTGGTAATTGCACTAAAATATAAATAACATTAACATTATAGTAGAAAACAAAAACAAAAACATACAATTCTGGCATGAGCAGTTAAAATTAAAAGAACTGTATCTACTAACATAAAATGAATATTAATAATATTTAAATATTATTAAGATAATTAAATTATAAAGATTTTATTTGGTCATAGAACGGATGACAGTCCTTTGGTAGCACTACCTTAAGTTGCTGTAGATCTTGCCATTATGATTTAGGAACTTTTAATGGAGACTCATGGAATTGTTCATATATAATAGGAGAATGAATTTCTACTGTCTTTCTCTTCTTTTGAGCAATGGCGAGATCACTATATTCATCATCAAAGTTCAACTTATAATCTATAGTGCCATTACAGTTATAACGGAGAGCTTTAATTTGGGTAACTGTTGCATCTCCAGTAGCTTTTCCTGGCCTTATACTATCATATCTATTAACATTCTTCTGATAATTTAAAAAAAAAGAGATATCACAATCTTTTACTTCATATGGAAATGGTTTTGATCTTGCAGTTTTGGTTATTTTTATGTAGTCAGATGGTAGATGAATATCTGTATGTTTTAATTTCCTTTCGATGAATGAGTGTACAGAGTCACACTACATTTGAGTGTGACCTTTGGTCAGATATTTTTGTTCTATGATTATTTTATGTGTAACAGAAAACTCGAGTAAAGCATTAGACAAAACTGTATTATTGTTCTGCTAACAGCACCCATCACTCCATAATATTATCACTCCAATATATTCTTATTCTTGTTGTAACACATGGATAATTGGTCAATAATTTAGCAGGTATTTTTGTCCGAAATCGATTCTATGGTAAATGAGCCAATCCATGGCATAACTGGCCAACCACTTTTTCTGTAATTTCTCCTCAAATGTTTAAAAAGAACTTTATCGCCTGGATTAAACATTGTATCGGCTTTAGAGTGGCGTTTGGCGTATGACCCTCTTTGCTTTAGTTGAGCTTCATCAATGTTTTTCATAGCTTTATTTTCCACAACTCCTAATATAATAATTATAATACATACATGTACTGAGAACTAAATATAATTTTTTTTCTATATAGAACATTCTAATAACCAATGAATATAAATTAACCTTTAATTATACTTATAGTTTTTCTGTTTATTAATTTAAAAATATTTTTTTAAATTATGAACGATCTTAAGCATACCATTATTTTGTATATTATATTTGATTAAGATTAAGTGCATATTCTTACCTCTTAATTGAATCATTGTTTCAATTGTCTTTGAAAATTCTAATTCATCAAAATCATCAGATATATCATCACCAATTTTTTCGTTTATATCTACATCAATAGGAAGAACTGGTTGGGTAAAGCATAAAAAAGGGAGAATATTTTTAGGAAGTGTGAACTGGAGTTCTGTATGTGAATAACACACCCTGCAAAACATCATTTTGTTGCACCTGAAATAATAAACTGTATAATAAAGAAAACAATTTGGAAAATAAATTTCAGAACTAATGATATTATTCGTATAATTAAATAAAATTGTTTGAACCGAAAAATTAGTTTAATGTGCCATTAACTTATTTTTTTAAAATTATATAGCTTGGTGAAATTTAAAAATACTGAATATTAAAATACCAATATACAGATGGGTTAGTTGTAATGACTCGGTCAAACAGAAAGCGGTCCCGTACACCATAGCAGCTCTATCTTTGTTTGACTGAGCCTTTACAAATGTATGTAATTTTTTTTTCCACACCTGCAGAGGTAGTTAATGAAAGAAATATCGAATTACTGTTTATAGTAAGGGGATATCAAATATATTATAGTATTAATTAACCTTTAACAAACAGGTTTTCATTATCCTGTTTAAGCGTTCTACGAGACCATTAGCTTGAGGATGGTACGGTGAAGTTACCCTTTGTTGTGTTCCGGTCATTTAAAAAAGTTCTTCGGAAAGTTTGTCTACAAACTCCTGGCCTTGGTCACTTATTTGAATTTCAGCTCATCCATGTCTACATATAATTTCGTCGTAGATGAACTTTGCCACCGATTCAGAGGTATTATCAATCAAAGTTCTAGCCTCACACCACTTGCTGAAATAACACACTGCAACAACTACATACCGAAAATTATTCACAAGTGACAAAGTAATCAAGTCTACTCCAATCTGCTTGAAAATCTAGATTTTATAAAAAACACGCAATAGGTGAGTTGATTCCCGAGACCTTTCTCATGTATTAGTTGATTCCCAGGTCATTAAGAGGTACGTACGAGTTGATTCCCGGGTCATTAAGAGGTGCGTACGAGTTGATTCCCAGGTCTTTATATATTTTATTCAATATTTTGTAAAATATTCAGCCTATTAGCATAACCCAAGAAACACCACGAGGAGGTTGGCTGACAAGTTTCTCAAAAATGTTGTTTTTTTTAGTTTTTTCATATTTTGAAAATCATTCAATTTTTATTTATTTATTAATTATTTATTGAATTATATTATATTTATTATTATTAAAAACATTTAGTAGTAATTAGGTCAAAAATTATTATTAAAAACATTTAGTATAGTAACTACCTAGGTAAAAAAATATAAAAAAATGTAATAATTTGGTAAAAATGTGTAAAACATTATTTTTATAAATTGGTATCTGGTAATGAGATTACCAGTATACCATGACATCTCTTCTCTTAAAAACATTTCTTTTTCTTGTTGTTTTTTAGATTTCTTAGTTCCATTACTCCTTCATTTAATATACATTTCCGATTGTACTTCTAACAGCTCATTTATAAATACAAAAATATTTGGGTGCCCACTATAGAAACAACTGTTGAGTTTAGAATGAAAGCTAAAAGCTAAACTCTTTACTCGTGCAATCTATTGATAATTAATATACAACAATAGGGAATCAACTCGTACGTACTCTCTAATGGCCCGGGAATCAACTCAACCGGTGATACCCGATTGAGCACGGTCGTTATCGGCCGACCTTTTAGACGACCCGATTGAGCACGATAAAAAAAAAAATATTGTGTACAACGTTGTCAGATTTTCACTAGTACCTACGTATGTTGTGTAGATATTACCAATAGGTAAATACTAATTACTAACATATTAGTCTTAAACGATTTTGCTATCGATCGATGGGTAGGTATACCCACGGAAGTTGAAAATAACTGGGATAGATAGGAAACCAGAATTCTATCTACAACGATTGCACTAAATTGTGATTCACTGTTATTGTATGTACCTATGCTGTAAATAAGACTTGGTCACAGTCAGTCTATGGTTCTGTTGCCTCGTGCTCGTGTGCGGTAGTGTTCAAATTTTACGATGGAAAATAATGAAATAAAAATTATTTTATCCGAGAGAGGTAAAAAGTTGGCAAATGTTGGAGCTTATAAAGGCTTATCAGGAGTACTCTGAATTAAAAAATGTTGATAACCTACTTAAATACTTATTTAAAATTGTAAATAAGTATTGAGGGGAAAAAATTAAAATTTTTATTTTTTAATTCATTTTGATTGGTATTTACTATTTTTCAACATTTTTTCATATTATATATTTTTATATTCAGTATTTCGCGGAATAAATTGTAATTGTAATATAATATAATAAACTAACTGACGTACATATGTAATAATATGTGATTAAAATCCAATAAAAGATTTTTATTTATAAACATTTACATTCAAATGTATCTTATTTTTTAAAAATAATATTCTACGATACACAATGGCAACGTCGCACCTATTTTCGTGCTCAATCGTGTTGTTTTTGGAGTTTTTTTGGGTTCTTATTGTTTGATTCCAACCATGCTCAATCGGGTTGTGAAAAAGGTCAATCGTGCTCAGTCGGGTTCCAGCCAACTCAACGGTGTCGGTGCAGGTAAACAGGTACCCGGGAATCAACTCGTACGCAGCCAAAAAACAAATATTAAAATAATGCAATAAGCTTACATAAATACATTTAAATTACTCTTTTAGGGACGGATACAGATTTTAATTCAGGAACAAATTTTAGAGATGCTGGATTAACTTGTTGACATATTTTGCATTGTCTTATGCAGTTTTTTATATCAACGGTCATGTTTGGCCAAAAAAATCGTTATTTTAACAGTCTCTGCCATGATTACTAGATAGTGCTGATGACTGTGCTGAGTTATCGGATCCATTATGCACCATATGTATAATTCGTTTTCGCTCATTAACATCAATTGTTTTTGCAAATGTTTTCTTATGAACAAGTATATCATTGTCAAGTTTGAAAACTTTACACTGTCTCCTAAAGTTAAACTTTTCATTTTTGTGGACACAAGGTGGATATCCATGATCACGAAGATAATGTACAACACAATTTAAATCAATATGTTGATTACGGCCTTCCTTAATAAACGCTGATTCCATAAATATATATATATTTATTATGTATGTATTATATGTTCTTTAGTTCATCAGGAGCCATTTGACGAACTTAACAATACTCCACCTAAAGAATTCCTACAATAAGATTCTGCTTTGGAATCAGCGTTTATTAATTAAGGCCGTAATCAACATATTGATTTAAATTGTGTTGTACATTTTTTTCGTATCTTCTTAATAACTTTTATTTTATTTTACCGAGTAGGTCCCGTGTATACAATACAGTTGAACAATTTTAAATTTTCGTGAACTGATATTTTTTCAAGTTGAATCACAGAATTTTCGGTTTGATTTGATTTCTTTATTTATCTCAAAATTCGGAAACTTTTTCAAAAATGGGCCTTTTTGGCGTAGAATTTGAGATTGATTTCACTTCTTTATTAACATCGAAATTCTATTTTTTCTCCCAATCGCTTCAACTTACGCACAGAAAGCCTTTTTTACTTCTCCAAAGTACTTTTTTTGTGGTAATATATAACATGAAAGATAATATGAATGACACATTTTAGTTGCAGCTCGTCCCGTCAATATATTGACATAATTATGCGCAACCAGTAGCGGTAGCTGTGGCGTTTCTTCAATAATTTATACTTTTTCGTAATTTTTTTACCAAATGATAGGGTATAATACACTTAATTTTTGGTGTAAGTTTCATAAGCTTAATTCTTTTTTGAAATAACTACAGCTCGTCCCGTCTACAATTTGGACTATATTTCAGCACCCCTGGTGGTGGGATCCCGTCCCGTTTCTTCCATAATTTATATTTTTCCTAATTTTTTTACCAAATGATTTTGTATAATACACTTAAATTTTGGTTTAAATTTCATAAGTTTTAACTCATTTTTGAATTAATCAAAAAAATATTGACCTAATTACGTGAACCTGTGGCGGTGGAATCCCATCCCGTTTCTGCAATACTTTATAGTTTTTCCTAATTATTTTACGAAAAGATAGGGTATAATATACATAAGTTTTGGTGTAAGTTTCATAGGTTTTAACTCATTTTTGAATTATTTACAGTTCGTCCCGTCAAAATATTCACCTAATCACGCGAACCTGTGGCGGGAGAAACCCGTCCCGTTTCTTCATTATGAATATTTTTCGCTGATTTTTTTAAAAAACTATGGAGAATAAAATACTTAAAATTAATATGTACGTTTTATAAGTCTTAAATCATTTAGGACTTAATTGCAGATCGTCCTGTTCGATATTTTGCTGAAACCTGAAATCCTGTACTATTTTTACAAGAATACATATTTTTTTCTAATATATTTTTGGTTAATGCATGTATTTCATTTATAATTAAGTTATATATTTAAATATATTAAATATAATATTAGTTGTAATTAAAAAGTATTTTTTTCGCTGGGCATGTTCAGGCAACACTGTTTTTGTTATCACATGTGGAATGGAATCGGACCGTGGTCCTGTCTTGGGTTTTAGTATTACCCTACCTATTCGATATAATAATAGTTGATTAAATTAGAATGACCAAATATCTAGTTTTTATTTCAACGTAAAGAAACTAAGGTGGCAATGAATATCCTGATAAATAAGCTGAAAACTTCTTAAATTTGTAGGTGAATCATTACACAAATAGATAAGTCTGCTTGACGATATTGAATATATAAATAGATACAGTACATACCTAACGTGACCATATTTTTTTTCTTCAAAGCGGGACACCTGTACATTTTAATAAGAAAACCACATCATTTTGCGAAAAATAACAATTTTTTTATTGGAAAAAAAACATAAAGTATTTGTATAAAAAATGACAACAGAAAAACGGAACTAATATATTAATAATAATAATAATAATAATAAATAATAATGTAAAAATAAATAATAGAGTATATTATTCGGCTGATTATATTTGTCGGATCCACAAATCTGCTTCAAAATAGCCTGTTTGGTTTTTATGTAAGAATGGAACTCTTGACATGATTTGTTGATATTACCCTTTGTGATAAGAATGGCTTTTAATACACCGACTCCCAACTGACTTTTTTCGCTGCTCCATATTTTATTTATAAGAGAGAACACTCTTTCAACTGGAGCGTTACTGCCTAGCAGACACAAAATGTATTCAATAATTATAGAAAAATTCACGTGTGAGAGATCATTAGCATTAAAGTGCGTAAATACTTCCACCCAACGATTTTCAGTAGGTATATTCCCGGTGTTCCAGTCGTATATTTTTTGAGCTGTTATATACTTAGAAATTAGTGAAAACTCGTCAAACACCCCTGTGTCTTGACTGCTACTAATAAATTTCTGTTCAATAAGTAAGTCCATCACTTTTTGTACATCTTCCCACGAGGGAACCTTTCTCAGATTTGCCCATTCAAATTTTTTTACTTCTTCGTTGAACTGACACCACTGATCCAAATATTCTTTGCTTGTTTTATAAAAATTAAACGCTGCAGTTTTTACGTTTTCTTCATTTATATCACTAGTTTCTTGTAATTTTACCATTATATTACGGATGGCGTGGGGAAGATAGCATGAATTTTGTTTTTGATTTAAATTATTTTGAAGTTGATTAATTTCATTTGCGGCATCTATTGCAGACACGTTTTGGCCCTCGATCTTTAATACAACTTGATGAAATGTAGCTGATTGTGCTTGCATAAAATACAACCATAATTCAGAGCTGGGATTTTCAAAAAATTCTTTCAGTATATTCGGGCATTTATCAATGCTCAGAAAATAATTTTTTAATGGCTGAAACATTTTCAAAACTCTTTCCAGTGCAGGCATCAACGCAAGCCATCTAGTTTTACTATAACTATATATATTATATATAATATATATATTACGTAGTTATACTATACGTCTATACAGTATAAATAATGTATGATTGTGATTTGTGATCAATAAATACTTACCACAAGTCGACTTTTCTTAAAGCGGGACATTTTTAAGTTCTTTGGTGACAGCGGGACACATAGCTCGAAAGCGGGACGTATGGTCACCTTATACATACCAGTACATACCACTACTAGCAGTTAAGGTTGACCGTGATTTTAGATCAGCAGGCATATAATTTGTCCAGTCCCTGTTGGTATGTGGTGAAGTAGATGATGTCAATTAATTTACTACACAATCTATAATAGGTAAAATGTAAAATAATAATAATAGTTATAGTTTATTATTAATTTACCAGTTGTTTCAGTTTCAGTGGGATATATCATAATTATATTTTCTCTAAGGAACATCTTCATCAATAGAATTGAAGCTATACTCAGCTATATTTCAAATTTATAACTAAGTCTACATCGTTGCCAATAGGAATTAATGCAGATATATTTTCGGTGAGTGACACTGTTTGCGAACCGACAATGGGTTTGAAGTAAGTCACCAACATATCCAGATGCACATGCAAAATCGGCATAATCCTGATCCATGGGTGTTTTTGAGTAATTATATTTTTATTTATTTAACACTAGAAAAGTAATATATTATAAAAGTCCCACTGTACATTTTCCAGAGGGGCTAATTACTTACTCGAATACAGTTTTTGTCGATTATAATGAGGCTACTGATGGTGGACAAGTAAGAGAACCTCAACCATTGGGGTGCTTTGGGTCCTTAGCACCCAATAAGTCTAAATTAGAACTCCCTAAAAAATCATTTAAAAATTTGAAAAAAAAAGTAAAAAACTTATCGAATTACAATTATAACATAATGGTAATATTTATAATATAACATTTTGTTATTTATAATGTTGAATTATTGGATGTGTTGATTTTAATTTAGTAGAAATAAGGATGCCGAAGCTGCCTAATTATTTTAAATAGTCTGTGCTATATATATATCTGTATGGTATATTTTAATCATACTTAACATACTAATATAATCTGGTATTCCCCAGGGACGGAAATATTCTCGTCATAATGAAGTCTGACATACGGGCGATACGCCCCCCCCCCAAAAAAAACCTAGGACATACAGTTTTAATATGCTATATTGCAATGGTCTGCTTGCCTTTAATATATTCAGCCCCCCTAAGTCAAAAGTTGAAATTGTGCCTATGGTCTACTAGGATACTAAGATTTAGAATAAATGGTCTTAGGTTACAGTGTGTCTAACACAGAACACTATATTTACGTATTACGTATGGTGTGTTAGAGGCATTTCTTATATTATTATTGCTAATAATAATATATTGATCGATATTGCATCGTAAATTGTATGTTTATTACGACTTACGAGTGTTAATTAATCGAGTTTAATCATGTTTTCAATCTTTAATTTTAATAACAAATTTAAACAAAATACATCAACACAAAAAAATAATTTAGACGAGACTGCCGAAACTCATAGTAATGAACCAAAAGCAAAGATAATATGTAACCATGAACAGAACGATGGACATAATGATGATGAAAACATTCAACTTAAAATTAATGTTTTAATTTGAATATACCGTCTGTTGATTTGGGTGATATTGATTCAGGACCAAAGCAACCTAAACTTTAAGTAAGTAGAAATGAAATAAATAATAATTAAGTGTAATAAAAATAAAACAAGAAATAATACGATTCTTGATTAATACATACTGACGTTTGACATATTAAAATGTTTTGACATACCTAGTGTCTTATATTATTTTATTTTACAGAAAAGCAATTTGAAGCATTTTTTTCCTAGATATTTCCACTAACAAAATTTGGTCCTCAAAATAGAAGTTTTAATGTTAAACACTATAGGGAATTTGAATGGTTAGAATATACTGAGTTCTCGTGATGCCGTTTTTTATTTTAATTGTTTTCATTTTGCAAAGAATTTAAAAACTGACAATTTAATTACAACTGGATACAACAATTGGAGAAAAATATGTTTTTTGTTTGGATATTTATTTATATAAATTAAAAATAATTATTGTTTAGTAATCATAGGCATAACTATAACATGCTCAGTGCCGGCAGTAGGGTCATTGGCGCCCTGGGCGAGTAAACGAATATGCGCCCCTCCCCATATGAATAGTAGTCATTTTATTTTAAATTAAATAAAATTCAAGTGCCATCATTTGATGGTTCCTTTACTTACGTCAACAAATCATATTTAAAAACATCACTTATGCTTATTGTACTATTTATAAATAAATATAATATATACTGTATTATTTTATTAAAAAAAAACAAACAAACAAATGCATATCATATTACAATTAACAGTTTGTTATTTATTTATATATTTTAACAAAAAAAAAAAGAAGATACTAAACCTTGATAAAAACTTTTCTTGCTTTTGATTTTGCAAAACTTTTAATAATTTCTGAGAAATCCATTCTTTGAGCTATTTTATTTTCAATAGAAAGGATTGCTAGAGATGTCAATTTTTCGTCTCCCAATGTCGAACGCAGATACGTTTTAATAAGTTTTAATTTCGAAAAACTTCTCTCACCACTAGCAACAGTAACAGGAATTGTTAATAAAATTCTTAAGGATATCCAGGTGTTTGGGAATAGATCAGATGTATTAGATTGTAACATATATTCCAATACTGCTTTTGGAGAAGATACATATTTTGGTAATAGAGTTTTAATATGTTCTAATTCAACACATAAATCTACTCCATTGATATCATTTTGGTCTTCATTTTTAAGTGTATTATGTAAATCCATACAATGTTTTACCAAAGTATCATGTTCAGGCAAATCAGAAATATTATATAAGAATCCCCATGTATTTTTATGAGATTCCAACTGTTCAAAACGTGACTGTATTGATGTTATACTTGTATCTATAAGACAATAGAAAAAATCTCTTTTAAATTCCTCTTCTGGAGTAGGTTCATAATTGTCTAAGCTTTCATATTGAAATTGTCTTTTAGTTAGTCTATGTCTTTTGGGTTTGAAACTTGTTTCCACATTTAAAGTTTCAGCAATTTTTTTAGCAGATGAAACAGCGCAAATATATCCTGTATTTCGATAAGAAATAATATAATTTAAACAACCTTTAACAATTGAAGTGGCTGTGATTATGTCCATAGTGATTCCTTGCATTGATTTACTAGCTACATTGATTTGAAACTGTAAATCGTACCAAACAACAAGTGAGATAAGAAATTCAAATTCACATAGGTTATCGGCTAAACATTGAGCTTCATGACGAAGACCTGCGTCAGCATTTGGTCAATCAGAAATTTCTATTAACGCATTAACTATGTTATTTGTTTCATAACGCATTGCTTTAACTGCACTTACGCGGCTTTCCCAACGAGTTGTACATACTTGCTTAACAGTAAATCCTGATATATGCCTTTTAAGAATCTCCCAACGGTTCACAGAAGCCGAAAATAATACATATACCCGTTGAATTAATCCAAATAAAGAAATTGATCCTTTAGAAGACGATGCAGCATCGGCAACAACTAAATTCAAAGAGTGACAACTGCGTGGAATATAAAATGCTCTTGGGTTTATATTTAATAATCTTGCCTGAACTCCTTGATTTTTTCCTTTCATGTTGGCCCCATTATCATATCCTTGTCCTCTGCAGTTGGTAAATTCAATATTGTTATCCTTGAGTGTTTGCAACATAAGCTGTGAAAGACCTAATCCGGTAGAATCAGTAGCAGTTTTAAAACCAATGAAATGTTCTTTTATAATTATGCTATTTCCAACTTTCTCGACAAAACGAACAGTGAATGACATTTGTTCTGATTTACTTATATCTGGTGTACAATCTGTAATAATTGAATAATATTTTGCATCATGAAGATTAGCTATAATAGTATCACGAACATTATTAGCCATTAAGTTTATCAATTGATCTTGAATTTCATGACTGCAGTAATGTTTTCTATTCGATTTTTTAGATATGTGACGTAAATGTTCTGCCATTACATCATCGTACTTACTAAGAAGTTGAACTAAGCCTAAAAAATTTCCATTATTTGGTTGAAATAATTTATCAGATGTACCTCTAAACGCCATATTGTGTTGAGCGAGGTACAAAATTATACTTATTAACCGATCAAAAACTTTTGTCCAGCGAAGACTTTCCTGTTCATATATATGTTGATTTTGAGCATCTATACAAGCATTTTTTTTAGACGGGTTTCAGATTCAATCCATATGCTAGTAGCAATAAAATGATGTGTAGATTTTTCATGATCACTTAATATAGACCCCATATGCTTCCAATCATTACAACCCCTGTGTCCTAACGATGTTCCACTATTTGGCTTGAATAGTTTGCAGCAAAAACAATATACTTTATCAGAAGTTTTTGAATAAATTAACCATCGTCTTTTAATTTTTTCACCATTTTCACAACTACGATATACATGAAAATTAGAAAAATGCCTTTTATGCTCATCTAGCGGATAAGATATATTTTCAAATATTTTTTTTGGACCAATCATTACTATTCTATCTATAATATTACGTTTCATATTTATTGCTAATGGCCACTCGGCTGGATTTTCCAAATAACTGACATCACAAACAGTACTTTCATTTAGAACATCTAAGTCGTCGTCAAATCTGAGTTCATCATATTGTGTTTGAATTTCATTTTTTTCTATGTCTAAACTAGGTTTTTGTTTATAGGTACCACTATCCATTAATTCGGAATCAAAAGTTTCATTCGATTTTTCAAAAGATTCTATTGGTTTGTTATCAATAGGTTTAAAGAACTTTTCCATACTATTTTGTTCCTTTTTTTTAGCAGCGATTTCCTCTGCCTTTCGTTTTCTATTCTGTGCTCCCGAAAGCTTTTTTCCCATTTTAATTAAATATTCTGTAATATTATATGAAAACTGAAAAGTTAACAATAAAAATATATATTAGAGAGGAGTAAATTGAACTGAATTATAATGAATATTTTTATATTCAAATACATACGTATAAGTTTTGACATATAACTTATATTTATATAATAATGTCAATGATTTATGCTGAATAAATAAAAACTAAATACTAAAATATTATGTATTTTGTACCTAATAAATATATAAATAAATATATAATAAACCTAATAATAAAAAAATGTTATTAAATAAGAATATAACTTAGTACGTATTAAGAGGACGTCATACCCGCATGTGTTGTCTCCGTCATATTTTCTATGTTACGCACTTGTAAGACGGAGACAACACATGCGGGTATGACGTCCTCTTAAGTATAAAATTTAATTTTTAAACATTTTCCTGTACTGGCTATCAAATACTACGTTTATATGATCGCGTTAAAACGGTTTAAAATTAAATCGGTTTTAAATTCTTAAACTACATACCTATACCACGGTTATACATGCACAGCTAAAACCGATTTAACTCAATTCGAATTAATTAACTCCCGGAGTTAAATGCATGTAAACGATTGTTAATTCAGTATAATACCAATTAGGTTTACCTAAAACGGTTTAGTTGATTCATATTTGAAATGCGCATTGGAAATAACTACGGGAGTACAAAATGCATGTAAACGTAGTGCGAGCGTTTTAACTTTTAAAACAGTTTACATTTTTAAAACCATTTTAACGCCATCATATAAACATTATAAACGTAGTAAATATTGTATTACCAGCGAATAGCGATAGTATAAATTATAATACAATGTTTACGTTTTGCTATATTTAACGGCAATAATATGTCGGTATACCGATGAAACTAATAAATAAACTTGAATGTACCTTTTAAATCCAAATCGTAGTTGAGGTAGAGACAAATAGTAATCGTAGTCAAGGTAGAGAAACACAGTGAAACAGTAAACGTGTAAAACAAAATTGTACAGGACTTAGTAATAACAAATGGCAGTATGATACTAGTACAACACGTACACTGTACACAATTAAATAACCAAATATGATATTATCTGTTATAATATGTTACAGAAATAATCGATAATGTTAATCGCAACGTCCAATGCATTTTGTCGCGTCAGTTGCTATCTGATGCTATTAATATCTAAATTCCAAATAAAAAGCGATTACGGTCGGTGTGGCCCTGATAACGCGGTTTAATGTAAATTATGGAGTTCCCGATCGGTTGCGTTTTATCGGCAGCCGAAAAAACGCATAGTGTGATCCGGCACTAATAATCATTTTTCATTTATGGACTAAATTATTATACACCAACCATAATAAATAATAATCAATAGAATGGATAGAATATTATAAGTATGACTATATTCCTATATTTTTTTCAGTTTTAACATTATATCATTGAGGCGCCCCCCTTTCAACAAGCGCCCTGGGCGTAGGCCCTGGTTGCCCACCCCTAACGCCGGCCCTGAACATGCTCAACAGAAGTAAAATAAGTTGATTAATAAAAACTATGTACATATATTTTTATACTTTTATATATTAATTTCATTATTTTAGTTGAATGAAAAGTTGTTAAAACATTCAAAAACTGTTCAACATTTAACATCAACTGTCCAGTATAATAGCTATAAAAGCTCAAAATTGACTGGCACTAAGTTACTCAATTATCAACTGCTAAAAAAAATGAAATTTTAAAAAATAGACGGTATATAAAAGTTCTTATAAATAAAACCCTCTTTTGTCCTAAACAGGGACATCCCTCCACTTTTTTTGTCTAAAATAATTTATCCCTTATAATTATATGCAATGTTGTTATTCATTACATTTTGATCTTTTAAAAACTGTTATTTTTACAATGGTTTTTTTAATTAGTTTTATAATACAATGAATAATGATTTTTATTAATATTATAATTAAGTATTATTACTTTTTAAGAAACAAGTACCTATTTGTTTGATCGTTTAAATTGGGCCTTGTTTAATTTGACAATACTAGATCTAATAAATCTAAACGTAATTTCTTACAATTTTATGTTGATAAAATAATATATTAATTTAGATAGATGACGTTAGAAGTTTGCATGTTTTTCAATAATTATTCAAAACATAAATATGTGGTACCTATATAAATTTGTTTCATATCATAAAACTAGAAGTTGAATGCTATATTTTTTATTTTGCATATTTAGCTATTTTTTTCCATATAAAAGTGCAAATTTAGTTATATTTGTATTTGAATTGCATTTTTCACATATTACTTATACCAATTTAATATTTATTTTCAAAAAATTAGAAAAAAAATCGATTAAATTGATTAAATATTATTTTATAATTTATCACAAATTCTATTGTCATTTTAGTCAATGTATTGTTAATTTGAGCAATAGTTTAATAGGTTATTATTAATTTATTAGGTATAAATCATAAACACAATTACACAATATGCATTTATAAATAAAATGTTTTGTTTTGCTTAAAGGCAAACTTCAAAAAAGTAGAAAGACTAAGAAAGAATAATAGATACATGTTAATTTAATTTTTTTGTTTTTTACTAACGAAATAAATATTTTGAATAGGGTATAATGCTATTTAAGCATTTTTGCATATTGATAGACCATAGAAAATTTTTAGATTATACTGCAAAAGTCATGTATGCATTTATTAATGTTTTTTTATAACATGATGTCAATATATATAGCCTTACATAATATTATTTTTTTGGATTTTAGAGTTCAAAGCAGAGCCGTGTTTAACGGGGGGCAAAGGGGGCAACTGCCCCCGGCGTCAAATTTTCATATTTAAAGAACGGCGTCAACATATTGTTAATCTCCCAATATTATTCGTAATTATTATTTTTTTTTTTTTTTTTTTTTTTTTTTTTTATCAAGAAAGACAATTCACAATCTGTACACAATAATTACAATAACAATTATTATATTATATTTGAAATTTTGAAAGGTTTTGGTGAAAAAGGGAATGACAGTTTAAAAAAAAGTTAATATTATTCTTAATATTCTTTCATATTAGCGATTAAAACTATTTAAAAGTGATAAGATGTAACGGGGACGCCGTGTGCCTGCGTATCATTTATATTATATTGTTATTTTACAATATTATGTTCCCCGTTACTGATCCACCACCCACTGGACTGATAATTGATAATATGCTTTCAATCGCCAATAGTAGATATTTTTACGCCAGACCGACTGGTACCACTGATATTTAGCTATCTCGTTTCTTAAGAATATCGTTATCATATATTGAGAAAAGATAGCTATTTGAAAAGTTATTTTTAGACTTTATACAGTGATATTAAATAGTAAACAAAAGCGGCAATCGCCTATTCGCCTGAATCGCCGCTCGCCTACGACGACGAAATATTACTTTGACGCTGGTAGACGGTAGTATTGGTGTAATATATTAAACTTTTATATAATTACTAAGTGACAGCTGAGTAACTGACTAGTTTGATTTTGTTGTGTATTTAATACTCAATAAAATGTCTTCAATTAAAAAAAGACCAGGAGGAGCTGAAATTAAAAGAAAAGCTGTTGCAAAAGCAAAGAAATGGGAAGAAATAAGTAAGAAAATTCAAAAATTGGGAACATATTTCTCTATGGTAAGCAGAATGTTTATTATGTGATTAATTTAAAACATAAATATACGATTAAATAATTTTGATACATGATATTATACTCTACTATATTTTTTCAGAATACAAATGTTGAGTCACTGATAACTAATGCCCAAACAGCAGTAATATGTCCTAATGAAGTAACATCTTTTGAAAACAATCTACCTAATGTTATTGCAAATAATAATCATGAAGTATGTTAAATATAATATTTATACTTATTATTTATTTATTATCAACTATTAGGTACCTTACATTTTTAATTTAATGAATAATATTTTTTCAGAATACAAATTTTGAGTCATTGATAACTAATGCCAAAACAGCAGTAATATGTCCTAATGAAGTAACATCTTTTGAAAACAATCTACCTAATATTATTGCAAATAATAATCATGAAGTATGTTAAATATAATATTTATACTTATTATTTATTTATTATCAACTATTAGGTACCTTACATTTTTAATTTAATGAATAATATTTTTTCAGAATACAAATTTTGAGTCATTGATAACTAATGCCAAAACAGCAGTAATATGTCCTAATGAAGTATCTTCTTCTGTGAAAAATCCACCAGATGCTATTGATCAAAATGATAAAAATACAACTATTGCCAAAACCAATAATAAAGTTTGTTAAATACATTTGTTTTTAATTGATAATTCTTTTAATTCATACTATTTATAGGATTTTACAAGCAATTCACATACCATTGAAATATTTGAAACATGTACAGTGGGCGTAGGCCCTATTTGCTTACTAGCGAATGAACAAAATAACGTTTCTGAATCCGTTGAAACTGAAATTCCAGATATTGATCCGGCACTATGGAAAATCAACTCCACAAGTATTAATTATTTATTATTAAATCCGCCGAAGCAAAATTTGAAATTAATACATTTAAAAAAAACTAAAAGAGTTATTGGTAAATATGTGAGGTACCTTCCATTAAATATATTCTATAGAAAAATGCAAAATGGAGAAACTCGTTTTAGGGATTGGATTTTATATTCACAATCAAAAAATTCTTTATTTTGTTTTCAATGTTTATTGTTTGGTAATAAAAAAACATTGTTTGAAAATCAAGTTAAAGGTTTCACTGATTGGAAAAAATGTTATGATAAAATTAGTGAGCATGAGAAGAGTTTGACACACGCACAGTCAGTAAAATCATGGCATTTGAGGATGATAAATTCTGGTCAATGTGGAATAGATAAGGAAATGAAAAAGGAAACACTTAATAATTTGTCATATTGGAAAAATGTTTTGCATAGAGTTGTGGAAACTTTGAAATTTTTAACTTCTAGAGGATTAGCTTTACGAGGACAAAATGAACATTTTGGCTCTGAACAAAATGGAAATTACCTTGGATGTTTAGAACTTATCGCTAAATTTGATCCTTTTATTTCTGAACACATAAAAAAATATGGAAATAAAGGACATGGTAATGTTTCTTACTTATCTTCAACTATATGCGATGAATTTATTATTCTTATGTGTAAAACTGTTGTTGATGAAATAACTAAACAAGTAAAAAATAGAAAATACTTTTCACTCATTATTGACTCAACTCCAGATATTTCAAAAACTGACCAATTAACAATTGCTTTACGATATGTCATGTTTGATGGAACACCAGTTGAGCGGTTCATTGGATTCCTTCCTTCAGTTGGGCACAAAGGAAAAGATATGAAAAAAGCAGTAGTTGAAAAGTTATCAAACATGAATATAGACATAAAAAACTGTCGTGGTCAAGCATATGATAATGCTTCAAATATGTCTGGCATGTATAATGGTTTGCAATCACAAATTAAACAATATTCTTCTAATGCTGAGTTTATCCCTTGTTCAGCTCATTCTCTGAACTTGGTCGGGTCAAATGCAGCAGAATGTACTCCTGAAGGAACAAATTTTTTTTTTACTGCTCAAATGATATATAATTTTTTTGCATTATCTACATATAGATGGGAACTTTTATGTAATTTATATAAAGATAATACAAATTGTACACAAACAACTCATCTTAAAAAATTATGTACTACACGGTGGTCTTCCAGGTACGACGTATGCATAGCTCTTTTACGTGGATATGACAAGATAAAGGATGCTTTAGTAACTATTTCAAATGATGATTTACAGAAAAAAGAAACAAAACATGAAGCATTGTCAATTTTAAAGAAAATATCCACTTTAGAATTTGCTTTTATGATCTGTATGTGGACTCCTATTCTTAAACGTTTTAATGCTACCAGTCTTACATTACAATCTGTATCAATAGATTTATCTACTGTTGTAAAACTATACGAATCATTAGAATCGTATGTAAAAGAAGTTAGAAATAATTTTAATCAGTATTTATTAGAATCACAGCAGTTGTGTGGAAAAGTGGATTTTTCAACAAAATCTTCCAGAACTAAAAAACGGGTTTTATTTGCAGATGAAACATCATAAAAAGGAGTTGTTCATGAAGGATCTGAAAAAATGAAAAACGAAGTGTTTCTAGTTATCTTGGACTATTTAATTGCTGATTTAAATAGAAGAAAAAAATCTTATTCTAATATCAACAATAACTTTGGATTTTTTCTAAATTTAGAGAAAGAAAACACAGAAAATATTAAAATCCACGCAAAAAAACTTATTGATATTTATCCTGATGATATTGAAAACGATTTCATAGAAGAAGTAATACAATTTAAAGATATAATTTGTAACTTTTCTGCTGAAAACAAGTCATCTGTAATTAACATGTTAAAAGCTCTCATACAATCTCAGCTTTCTTCAACATTCCCAAATGTTGAAATAGCTCTAAGAATTTTTTGCTCTCTTCCATGCTCAAATGTCACTGGAGAACGTTCTTTCTCAGTTCTGAAAAGAGTGAAAAATTACCTTAGATCATCGTTATCTAATGAAAAACTTTCGGCACTATCCATATTGAGTATAGAGAATACAATATTAAAACAAATAGAATGGGAACAAATAATTCATAAATTTGCTTCGGGAAGTTACCAGAAAAAAATTAATCTAAGTGTTATATTCAAATATTCAAATAAAATATATTGTATTTTAAATACCTAGTTATTTCAATAGTCCTCATAATAAAAGTATCTATTGTTTTTTTTTATTATTATTACACTGTAAACATTTATATTTAAATTATAATTAAAATAAAAATTATTTTAGAAATTGTAGCAAAGAGGCGTTACATTTATTTTGCCCCCGGCGTCTTTAACTCTTAATCCGTCGCTGGTTCAAAGTCAATAAATATAATAAATAAAATAAATACAATAAATAAATGTATGTATTTATAGTTAAATGCAAAAAATAAATGTATGTATTTATAGTTAAATGCAAAACTAAGACACTAAACCAAAAACCAAAAATATATAATATATATTATAAAAAAGGTGGGCAAGTGGGTATCGCTCTGCTGTACAGTAGGTTACAAGTGGATCACTGTATAATGGATGGTATTAAATTTGAATTCAATGATATAATATCATTGTATAAGAAAAACGATTCTGAGCGGTGACGGTATGTAAGTCTATGTATAAGACATATTATATACATATCTATGGTATTAAACAAAAAATTGACCTATAATGGGTACCTATAATAAATTCCAAATTAATCATATCACAATGTCCATTAGGTAATTATAACGCGTTATACATCTACAAAAACCGTGATAATATCATAGATATATAATAGACAATAGTACACTTTAGAAGTTTCAATTACCCACGAATAATATTATTCAATCACAACAAAATAACTAAAATAGTTTTAATTGAAACTTCTAAAGTGTACTATTATACTATTATACTATTCTAGGTTTTTTAATATGTAATTTCGTCCAAATTTGAATTTAAAATGTCTGTAAAAAATAAGTGTGTTCATATATTTTTTAGATTTTTTGGTTATAGTATGAACTACTTATGAGAACCTTTGTGTTGAATTTGTAATCCTTAGCTATAAAAACTGAACATTTTATAATTTATTAATTACAATGATTGATAATTTTCGAGATTTTGATAAATTTTGTCAAAATTCGATCTTTAAATGCTTATAAAAAAAACTGTGCCTATGTATTTTTAATATTTTTCAACTGCTATTGTAACAATATATCAGGAGCCTTGTATTAAATTTTTACACTTTTTGGCCCAACAGATAAAACTTTATTGATATTTATAGAAAAAAAACTAAAAAAAATTGAAAGCTGTAAATGTCCATAAACAGCTCAAAAAGAGTCAAAATATTTAAATTGTATGGTGTATAGAAAATGCTAATTTAAACATTCAGTGAAATTTTCATGTATCTACAGTTGTTCGTTTTTGAATTGCAACAAAATAAAGAATCCCTACATGAGTAATCGAGTGAATATCCAATGTTGTAAAAATTTGAATTTCAAACGCTCATAAAAATTTAATTTGACTTTCTTATAGACATTTTTGTTTTGAATAAGGTAGATAATCTTATAAGGAATCTTGTATTACATTTTCAAATCTTAGATTTAAAAAGAAAAATTTTTACGAATTCTTAACTCAAAATAATTTGCTAATTTTCGTGATTTTTCCATATTTTGTCAATTTTTGAACTTTAAATGCTTATAAAAAAAAATTGTGACTAAGGATTTTTAATATTTTTCATCTGAATTTGAAACAATATATTAGGAGCCTTCTATTAAATTTTCAAGCTTTCGCAACCAACAAATAAAATTTTATTGATATTTTTAGAAAAAAAACTAAAAAAAAATGGAAAATGAAAATGTCCCTAAACAGTTCAAAATAAATCAAAATATTTTGAAAATGTTATCGTGTATAGAAAATGCAAATATAAACAACCAGTGAAAATTCCATGTATATACGTTCATTTGTTTTAGAGTTACACCAATAACCAAAATCGATTTTTTGGAAAACCAATTTTGCGTAAAAATTCCCGTTTTTCCTTAATTTTTATGTTGTTTTTCCCGGCGCTTGTGAAAACTACTGGGAAATTTATACTTTTGACCCCCCAAAGTACCAACTAGATTCACTTTCCTATCAGAAAAGCTACTGATGAAGAAAATCCAAGCACTTTTACTGTCCTAAAACGTGATGACAGACACAAAAATAAAAAAATATAAAAAAAAACACACATCATTGTAAAACCAATACATTCATCGCTCCGCTCAGAATCTAAAATATACATAAAATAAAAAAAAATATATATGGTGTTTAACTTACCCCCTTTTTCCCCCACAATCTACATGGTGTACGACTTTTTAAACCATATGACTATATATGAAATCAGTATAAAATATGAAAGGCATCCCTCCACGTATTTTGAGACACTTTGACCACTGATGTAGAGATGCAAAGACAAATGTTTAATGACAGTAAGTTGTTATGAAACAAATTTATGTGGGTCACCTTTTGGTCACTTTTATGATTAAATTCAGTTTTTTTTTAAAGTGCTTTAACCGCGTCCAGCTCTGCGCCACTACTATATAGTGATTTTTGGATTAATTAATATAAGATACCAATTCAATATTTTTTGTAGTTTTCCTGAAGCATCTGCTATGTATGCACAGCGTTCTGCAGAAAGTCTAATGAGAAGAGCAAGAAAATCTTCTTTGCCACTTATTCCCGATACACTTAGGCAATTAGGAGATTTGTTTGAACAGGGAAATTTGAATCGTTACCAGGTCAATGATGAAATTATTTATAAAGGTATTTTATGAATATATTTTCACAAAATGTACCTTGTCCTAAATGTGGTATCAAAAACAATCCTGTGAGGAAGAAAAAGGAGCTGAAATATGGCTCTAATAATAATAATTATTATTTTAGGTTGTGTAGAAGATACCAATGGAAATCATTATATTATATTTGCTAGTCAAATCATGACTAACAATGCACTCAGTATTTATTTTACATTTTTACATGCTGATTACACATTCCGGATTACTCCATCAAAACCAAAATCCTACCAACTTTTGGTTCTTCATGGGATTGTAAATAACCATGTACCTATATGTTGTTATACACTCCTTATATATACAATATAAACATAACATTTTCGTTTATAAATGTAGATTATAAACATACAATAATAATTAATACATATTGTAATTTTTATAGAGTATTCCTGAGTATTTATGGAGTTGAAGAATAAGTCTAGTTATCAATCTGTCATTTCCTTCATTAAATCTGGTATACTACCTAATTTTCGACCACGAAAAATAATGACTGATTATGAAAGTAGTTTAAGAACTGCGTTAGTTGAACAATTTCCTACAGCAAAACCTCTTGGGTGTTGGTTTCATCACAATCAAGTAATTTATTATACCCACCATACAAATAAAAAATGTATTAGTATGACTTGATTTTCAGGCTGTTTAGAAAAAGATGAAAACTTTGGGTTATCTTAATTTGGTCCATAATAATGAAAACGCCCGTAATATTCTTAGACAACTCTTAGTATTACCCTTACTTCCAGCACAACAAATTGTTCAGGGATTTAAAATCACCAAAAGACTTGCAAGAAGGTGTTTCATAGACATAGGCGGACATCGGGGGGGGGGGGGGGGGGCTTAGGGGGGCTTAGCCCCCCTAAATATTTTAATTGTCCCCAAAAATCGAAACTTAATTTGAAATGTCATTCGTTGTTTTCATAATTATGTTATCGTTTTGTTATGCATTATTATTAGTTTAACACATCTATCACATAAAACTAGTTTTGAAAATGTGTGGAGAAATGGCCTTTTCGAAATGACCGATTCAATTTACCATGCGGGCACGAGCATATTCGATAGACGACGTGTTATCACTTCTTATCGATATGTCGAGCGTCGGCTCGCGGGATCACGACCGTTGTTGTTGTGACGTTATTTTAATATAGAAGATGTTATAAGAGTTTTGTCAGAAAACAAAACCATATTCCCTATTTGCAAAAACTATTTACCATAGCATTAACAATACCCATCAGTTCGGCTACTTGCGAAAGGAGTTTCAGTGCAATGAGAAAAATAAAAACTTGGCTAAGGACATCCATGCTTCAGGATAGTTTCAGCGATCTTTCTATTCTATATATTGAAAAAGATATGTCCAAAAATATAAATAGCAATGATATTTTGAATATATTTGCTGATATAAATAGGTATTTGTTATTAAAATAAAATATTAACTATGAAATATTAACTATTAAGTGTTCTTAATTTTTATTACAATATTCATATTTGTATTAGTAATATACTACACTTGTGAATGGGAAGGGTGTGCGGGGGTGAAGCCCCTGCGGGTCACTTTACATTGGATTATTATAGCCCCCCTAAAAATTCAACCAAATGTCCGCCTATGTTCATAGAAATTAATACTCTATAGTCTATTTGATTATTACAAAAGGTATGAATACAATTATTGTGGTGAAATTAAGTTAGTAAAATTAAAGATGTACAATATATGAGAATATTTTCTTTAGATTTTGGATACACAGGGTTGGAGTGGAAATAATGTATGGTCAGGCTAGGAAAACAAACAACCACATTGAATCTTTAAACGACAAACTTCGGTACCTATTCATTTAGGGTAGCTCATCCAAATATCTGGGTGTTTTTAGTAAGTGTTATACTATCCCCAAATTTTTTCCGGCATATTGTTAAATAGATTTGGTAAATTCAATCATTTTTGTTTTTAATGATAAAATATCTGGTCTTTTTAAATTCTAACTTTTTATGTTGCTCCTAAATTAAATGATTGTATGTTTTTTACTGTTGACTTGTAATTACCCATATAATATCCAAAATAAAATAAAACACTTTCTATGTGGTCATACTAAACACGACTGTTTAATGTTGAATGATATTCATTATTCTTATAATATAAACTCTATTAAATGTTTTCTCACTGATTAGAATATGGAACTATAATTTCAATAATCATGTCATCACATTGGCCATACTAATAAAATATTGATACAAATAATGTACCTACTTATATATTTTCTTCAAGTGTAACATTTAATTCCACGACATTCTGTCTAGGTATATTAATTTTCTCAGTTTTAAGCAGTTTGAATTAAAATTTCAAATAAAAAAGAAATGGTTGTTACTTTTCATATAAATAAAATATATTTAAAAATTCTGTGATTTTAAAATAAATAAATGAACAAGGAAACTTATTACATAATATACCTATTGTCTTGGACATATTTTATGAATATTTTTATTTACAAATAAACTTCGGATTTTATTAAAAACTACAATATCGTCATAAATAAATTAAAAAATGGTTTAACTCCGACAAGGTATACAAGAAGTCGTTATATTTCCAATAGTGATCGGATTCAATATGCCACTAGACAACTTATTTTAGGTCTTATAAATACCAAAGAATTTCTGAACCAGTGTTCTTATACAGTGGCTTCTTATGAAGAAAACCAAAGATATTTTGCCTTGAATATACAGCAAGGCGATAACCAGGCAAACGATACCAGGGACAATGAAACGCTTCATCAACAAGATGAAAGTGTAAATGTACAACTACATGTGATGGACGAATCAGAGCGTGGTAAGAATCAATTATTATTTTTAATAATTACAAATTAAAATTATTTTAGTTACAGAACACTTGGTATCCGGAGACAATTCAGAAGATAGCTTGGATTTATTTATTCCAAGACCGAGAATGCAATTATTTGTGATTGATGATTCAGATTATTTCCTGCCGTTTGCTTATGGTAAGAATATAATATTAGTATTATTATTTATAGATAAAAGTTCTCTAAATTATTCCATCAATTCATAATTTTATGATCTACCCGATACAGAACCCTTAGTTTCAGAAGAAAATGAAACACAGCATGCAGAACAAGTAGTATCTGAAGAAAACGAACATCCAGATGCCAACGACAGCTTGGATTCATTTATTGTAAGAGCGAGAAGGCAACTAGTTGTAATTGATAATACAGATGATTCCCTGCCGACTGCTTATTTTAAGAATATAATATTAGTATTATTATTTTATAGATACAAATTGTTAAAATTATTTTATCAATTCATAATTAGATGATCCACCCAATACGGAACCATTAGTGTCAGAAGAAAATGAAACACATCATGAAGAACAAGCTAATTTTAAGATAATATTCTAATTTAAATTATTATATTTCAAATAAATATGTTTAACACATTTTTCAGGGAATGAAGCTGACTTCATAATACCAGAAAAAAGGGATTCAGATATTGTATTTATGATGGAGATTGAAAATCGGAGACGTTTATCTGAACTTGAAAATTTGTCATTTGGACAACTTTCTTCTTTAATTCCATTCAATGAAAATGAAAATGTTGAAATGTGTGTTTTATATGTCATAAGAGAAAAAACCATCGCACTGGTGCCATGTGGACATAAGTCTGTATGTGATGATTGTTTAATTCTGCTCGATCCAAAACGATGTCCACTATGCAACACATATTTTACTGATTATTTAAGCATTTGGTCATAATTATTGTCTATACTCTATAGTATATTAATATAAAAAGTTGATTGTATGTCTTAGTTCTCTTTAAATTATTATAACTAGGTATAAATAATTCTATTAACAATTTACAGTTAATTTAAAAAATACTAATATCCCTAATACTTTTTATTTATGAAAGGTATTTAGAGTACATATTCTAATGAGATTAAAAGTAGGTACCCTATTTAAATAATAATCTTATTGATTTAGTTTTTGAATTGCTTCTTATTTTCAGTTAGCGTGGAATACCATTAATTATTATTAAAATAATTAATAACCATGAATACTAATGATTTTATTAAAAGAAAATCATTGAAGAAAATTAGTATAAAAATATTAATAGCATCCTTTAAAGTTAAAATATTGTAAGCATTACCTCTTATCTTATCTATGTATATATATTTTTGATTTGACTGGTCCAGGAGGAAAGAGGTCGTTAGACAACGCAATAAATGACACAAAATTGGTCAATTTGTGTAATCAATAAAATAATCATTTTATGGACAATTCTTAAACTAATTAATTATATAACTAACTATTTCTAAAGTGTACATTCGAAAATGATTGTTAACATATTACTATGTACAATTTAAAACAAGTTTATAATAATAATAGTTTATTTTTTAACCAATCAAATATACATGAAAAACTTTTTTACTAAATAAAGGTTACTAAACCCTTGCAAGCTAAAGCTTGGTTAGAGTTCAATGATTTTACAAAATTAATTAACATTAACGTTTACATTATGAATAGTAATAATAATAATATTCATATTCAATGTAGATAAGAAGTTATACAATGAGAAGTAAAAATTAAAATGTATATTTTAGTTGATAGATCACCCTACCTTCCTTCACAATCATTACCTAGTAATCAAATATATAGACGAAATAAATTAAATAAATTATAGACGAAGTCAAGCAAGTAGAGTGACTGAAAATGTTTTTGGTTTATTGAGAAAAAATTTTAGTGTTTTATCAGCCGATAAATTTAGATACATCAACTTGTGGAAATTTAATTTGGGTTGCGTGTTGCTTGCACAATATGTTGAGAACTGGTTACATGGAAAAAATAATCACCCATTTTACGACTACGAAGATGAACAATCAACACCAACAAATAACATGTCACCATTATCAAGAGGAGGTGGATTTATCAACATTGAAGGTTTTGATGTAAGAGAGCATCTCAAGTCATACTTCAATAATGAAGGCTCTGTACCATGAACATTTTGTAAATAATTAAATACTTTATAATAATAACATTTTATTGAAATACTTTTTAAAATTATAAATAACACTGTACCTTTTAGTATATATTTTTAAGCATAACAAAAATATTTGTATTATATCTTAGTGATTACAAATATAATTTTAAAAAAAATATCTGTTTTTGAATAAAATAATAACCTTCAGTCTTGAACAGTATAGTAATAATTGCATAAGAATAGTTACAAAATAATAAACAAATAACAAATCTATTCATAATATATATGTTCATCACAATTGTATGTTGTAAAACCTTGTGAACTTTCAGATGAACCGTATGTTGAAGTTGATGCATTTGAAGGTGAAATTTGTAAATGTATGGAGATTTCATTTGGTTGATTAAAATATCCTTGAGCTGTAATATATCTTGTTGGTTGTGCAGCATATTTTTCTTCAGTTTCAGCCACCAATGCTAATGTTTTCAATTTTACTTCATTGATACCTTTGGTTGGTAATTTCTTCACAGTCATGGCCAAACTTTTGAAAAATAAATCTATATCATCATCTTCATTCATTTTTCTATTTAAAATAGTCTCATTTTGAGACTGAATAACTGCTATTAACTTTTTTTGTTCTTCATTTCTTGTTGCTAGGATGACTGCCAACTTGTCCTGCTTCGACCTTATACGTTGTGGTCTATCTGTGGTTTTTTCTTTTTCTTCTGTTATTCCTCCGTCAAATTCTTCTCCTATTCCTCTTTCAAGTTCTCCTTCTTCATGTAGTACAGATGCGCTTTCCGTTACACTTATATTTGATGAAGAACTAAATACAAAAAATATATATAAATACTAGCTGATCCCGTGCACTTCGTTTCCCGTTAAATGTACCAACTCTATATGACTCAAACATTGTTCAATGCGTTATTTAATATTCGGTGTATGATGTTCTAGATTTATCTTAACTTTTCTGTTGCCCGGAATAAAAATTCTGAATTGCAGCAGTACATTATCAGATAGGTAATTTACCTGCGGTAGATCGCGGACCCCGTGCTGTTTGTACGTAAGTGTATGATTTAACTCAAAAAGTACCAAAGTTATACCAAGTTTGACGTTTTTACTTAATTCCATCTACCTATAAATCCTAACCTAACATAACCGTACTAAAATCCGATGAATAAAAAAACCAAATTTAACCCTTTTTAAATCAACTACATATCAGATGGTAATTTCCTTTTTTTCACTGGGTTTGACAAATATTTTGGACCCGGAAATATACTTGGAACAGCATCATGAGCAAGCTTTGCTCGTTTTAAATTTATCTATAAAAACGTTTAAGACATTTTTATATAAAAAAAGATTCATTAAACAAAGGATAAGTTACAGTAACTAGGTAATACCGTGACTTTTGAAGCACCAGAACCAGATTCCCAAGTCCTAACAATTTAATCAGTTGTAAAACGTTTTTCACAAATCACTGTCTTTGATTTGACAACAAGATTAGCACGAGGAATAGATTTTTCCCATTTTTCCCTCAAAATTTCATTTTTAGGAAATTGAAACATTGAAACTTTTTCTTGGTTTGATTTATATCCTGACGTACAAGACACAACTAGGGTTACCAACTTTCAAATTGTCTGATGTAGGACAATTTTTTTCATATCCAATTTATACCATAGTTTCAGTGGCGTATCCATGATTTTGAAATGGGTTGAGGGGAGGGGGCAATGTATAATGTAAAAAATAAAAAGACCACTGCTATGGTCGTTTATATTCGTTATAACTTATATGTATAAACAATACGGCCAATGGTTTTTTTTTTGGGGGGGGGGGGGGGGTGGGTTGCTATAATATTTTGATTACAAAAAAAAAACATCTAAAAAATTGTATTTATATCACTTTTATTAAATTAGCTTATTCATACTTTTGACTTAAAAAATTCAATGAACAGTATACTATCATTTCATGATATACTCATCATTAAAATTAATAGTAAATACTTATTTAAATATTTAAAATAACAATGTAATGAAAAATAACTTTAAGAATTAACAATATAATAATTAATAAATAACATAAATTATAACACTTGGATTGGATGTTTACTATCTTATAAAATCTTAAATATACAAAATTGATCAGAATTAGAAAATTTAATAAATTTGTTATAAGTTAACTGAAGAATTATAACAATTTTATTCTTACAACTGTCTTAGAAATTTTATCACAGAAAATTAAGTAGGTATTTTAAGCATATAGGAATATAATAATAACTATGCAACTAATGAGAACTAAAAAAATAATAAACATGACTTTTAACAAAAATAATCATTTAAATGATTAATGCATAATGCAACTATGCGACTAATGTGAACTAATAAAATAATAAATAATAAACATGAATTTTAACAAATAATAGTATTAACAAAAATTATCATTTTATCATTTGAATGAGTATTTGTTTTGGTTTTTTGCCAATTTAATTAAATCTTTGTCATTTTTAACAGACTTGGAAAATTCAAGACAGTCTTCTTTATAATTGAAATAAATCAATAGTTCAGCTTTTATAAGAGCTGTTGAACACCTATTCCTTTCATCTCTCCATTTAATATTCATTACAGAAAATACTCTTTCAGTAAATGCACTACTTGATGGTAGCGTTAATAAAAACGAAATGAATAAAAACATGTTGGGCAATTCAATATCTTTCTGAAAAATAAATTGCCATTTTTCTGGAATAGTTTTTACATTTTTCCAGTCGTTTGTCTTAATAAATTGTTTAAATACTGATTGTATTGTAACTATTTCATCAAAAAGTTTGTCAAAATCAAGTTTTTGTAGTTGAGGTATGTGATGAACAATTTCTTCAAAATGTTTATAGGTAGGAAATGTATTCTGAGAAAGCTGAAAATGTGTTAATTTAAATAACCAATTTTGTTTTTCATCAAAATCAAAATGATTATTTAAATATTTAAGTGCTTCGTCAATAAATAAATTAAAACTTCTTGTTATAGTATTTTTCAGATTCTTATCTTGTAAATTGTTCAGTTTTTGATTTGTTAAAAAACCAAAAAATTGTTCAGTTTTTCTACTTAAAAGACTGGTTTTGAGATTCAACATAATACTAAATAATTCAATTACAGTAGTAGAATTTTTTTCAATTTTTTTCACAGCATTATTAAATATAGGATTACAAAAAAGTAAATATATTTCTATTTCCTCACTAACTACATGACTTTCTTCAGTAATTTTAAGTAATGATTGTATTTGTTTTGGACAGTCTGAACCAAGACTTAAAAAATAACTTATAAAAGCTTGATAGTTACACAATATTCTGTCCACACATGGAAGTAACGATAACCACCTAGTACCAACATGTCTTATTGATTCTTTCCATTCTATTTCAACAAAATTATGAAATTCTTTTAAAGTTTCTCTTCTTTTAGCAGAAATAGAAAAATGCGAATACATTTTTAATATTAAATTTTCAACATCAATATCTAAATAATCCATAGCTTTTTTAACGCCGTTGTGAAGTATATGCGCATGACAATTACTTTTTATTATATTTGGATTTTTGGCTTTAATATTGGTAAATAGTGAATGATGTAGACCAAAATTTGCACTAAAACCACTAACTTGTTACCAATTTAGTTCAGTATTAGTAAAAATATTGTCAATCATTTTAAACATACCATCAGCTGTTTCATCAGGGTTTTCTATAAAATCTATAACATAATTTTGTTGGCCTTCCTCTTTAGTAAAAATCTGTATGCATACAGGGAAAAATTTGATATTTTTTTTATTAGAAGCATCAGTTTGTATAGAATAAAATAATGTGATTTTTAAGTTGTTGATACAAATGGAATAACGACCTGGGAGATAAAACATTCTGTGATATAGCTTCACATTTTGTTCTACCACAACTTATTTTAACCGCAAGTTTTGAGTCTTCAAAAATAAACTTATCTAATTTTAAGCTACAATTTAAAGAGTTGTATGACTGATAATGTTTAATAGTATGGTAAACTTTGGCAATTTCAGCAGCTACAATAAGTTCCTCCTCATACGAATTTTTAACAACAAAATATTTATTAACTACATTACTTATTTTGCATGCTTTCAACTTTGTTTGGTGTTTTTTTGAAGTTGAGTGACGCACCACTGAGTTATATCCTCCAATAGAAATATTAAAACAATTCATAGTTTAAACATAGTTTACATTCTGCATTAAAATCATCATTTTTTCTTAACCATGTGTTTTGTTCTTCCCAATTTTTGTTGTAGGTGCACAATCGACGAACTTTTTTGGAGGAGTTTTATTTGTATCACAATCATCTGGGTCTGACTGATCTGAGTCTGAATCTGAAGTGGGTTGTCTGTTCATATTGTATAATGTATTGTTGTAAAATAAAATAAAGATAAAAAGACGATAAAATATTGTCGAAAAGTAATTACTACATCTCCACTTCTGGGCGGCGACTAAAATTCGTCCGTTCTCGCGCATTCCCACCACTAAACTCTAGAGGTGCATTGCCTAAACGGCCAATCCACGGCCAATATGGTACCAATCACGTATTTGGCGTTGCCTAAACAGCCAGGCCGCTTGTCTCATGCGTTGCCTTGACGGCTTTTGTGTATCCTGGCCGTCGCTAAACCGGCCATCCCGTAGAGCAGAATCGTCGACGGCCTGTCGCTGATAAGATAATACTTTGTTGATAATGGCATAAATTTAATTAATTATCATTATCGAATTTTCGAAATATCGGAACATACGTAATATTTAGTAATAATAAATAATAAATAATGGCTCTACAATTTGTAAAGTTCATTCTTAATGGGAACAAACCCATCTATAATGATGATCCCAACTGCCCACATCAAGTGCTGTGTGAGGTCATAACCACAGGTAAATTAAGAAATTAGCAATATTAATTTAATATGTGCTCGTTCTAACAATATTCTGTTTAGACTAATATGTATTTTATCTTTCACTACAAAGTAGGTACTAAGTCCTTTGTTAACAACGGTCCGATACATTTTTAAGTACTTGTACTGCTATTACAAAAATGTTGAAATAGCAATAATTATATAATAAACAATTTATCCATATAAATCCTAACAAATTATTTTGAAAATGTTGTACCTATCACTTTTGTTTTGTATAAGTTTCTAATCCTAATCTGAAATCTATCATAACAACATTATATTCTATTCCTCCTATCATCCATTTCTTTCTTGTTATACGTAATAGAAAGTCAAAAAGAGATGGCATTTATTAATGTAGACATTGTGAAATTACTATACCGATCAAAAACAAGATATTAGTAATGAATAAGGACCCCAGACCAAGTTCAAATTTAATCATTAAATAAATTATAATTCATTAAAAAATTATTTAACATTTATTTCATCTCAATATTTTATGAAAATTGGTGAAAAACTGTAGATTTACATCCATTTTATGCCTTTAATTTTACATAGTAGATATATTTTTAAATTATGGCTGATTCTGCATGGTGTTGCTGGAGACTTATTATATAATGGCAGTGGCTTTATTATGTTATAAACTTCATTAACTATAAACTACACATTACTATTAACAGTAATTTGGATGGTTTTGACACGATATAAAATATGGATCTAAATTCATATCCAATTATTATGACAAATTCCTACATGAGCCCCCCTTTAAAATGTGAATCACAATTATTAAATCAAGGCTCAGGACATCTTCTTTTGTAAATACATATTATACTGTTTGTTTGTGTAAACTCTCCTCTTTTAATTTGTTACCAACTATTCCCTATAATATCCAGCATGTATTCCTTTTCCTTAAATTCCTACCTTTGTTAAATTTAATAGCAGGCCAAAAGGAAATGGCCTTTATTGATGTGGAGAGCTTGAATTCATGTGGCATTGGAGTGCCAGGATCAAGCCAAGAAATTAATGATAATTTGAATGCAAATAAAAGTAAGTAATCATAATTGTTTATTTATTTGTCAACTACCACAATTTTAAATGAATTGCACTGATTTTCAACTGCCTCTTAATAAACAAATGTTGTTTAAAAAAATAGTATAACAACTATAAGTAACAAATAAGTTGTACTAATTTAAATTATACATAATGGTAAAAGAAAACTGTATTGCAGATTGATTTAATATCAGAAGCTTCTATAGTATAGTTATGACCTATAGTAAAACATGTAATATCATTTTCACTAATAAGTATTATTGTAACTTACTATTAAGAGGACGTTATACCCGCATGTGTTGTCTCCGTCTTCCAAGTGCGTAACATAGTACATTTTATGCTCAGCAGAACACGTTGATCTCCGTTAATTTAAAAAATAGAGTGAATTGACCTCTTATAATATCTAAAGATAAGATTATTATCTAGTCAGGTTGAGGTCATGAGGTTCATGGGTTTTTTATAATATTTTAATTTTAAAGAGAGTTATGAGTATTTTAAAATTGTAAATTGTTTATAGATTTTAAAATACTCATAACTCTCTTTAAAATTAAAATATAATAAAAAACCCATGAGGTTGACAAGATAATAATCTTACCTTTAGATTTTATAAAAGGTCAATTTACTCTATTTTTTAAATTAACGGAGATAAACGTGTTCTGCTGAGCATAAAATGTACTATGTTACGCACTTGGAAGACGGAGACAACACATGCGGGTATAACATCCTCTTAAGTAATAGTAAGTTACAATGCAAGTTTTAATTACCTAATTAGCTAGTGGTTTTATAATTGTGTTTATTTTTAATTCCTGTATACAAAATTTCTACCAGGAGTGTTTCAATTTCAACATAAAGTTTCTTATCTTTAAGAAAAATTGTATATAATCATATAACGCAATCAATAGAAAATTCAAAATAGTTTTAATAAATTAATATATGGGCATTTGATACAAAATATATACAATGTAAATATAAAACAAGAAAGCATAAATTTCACTCAATACAAATCTATACATAATAATATGTGAAAATAAGGGACATTTTCAAGTATATGCAGGCAAACATATTTTACAATATATAATGGGAAATTGAGTTTTATGGTAAACTAAAAAAAGTTTCTATTGATTTGACCCACAATCTCAGAGAATATAAGTAATTACTAATTTATAGACAATGATTAATGTGATGGACACAATACATACAAAATACAAAAGACTTAATACATTTTGCGTAGGAAAAAATACATATAAATAAATAATTAGAAAAATGATTAAAAACAAATTTATACAAATAAATTGGTTTAACAACTATTTTAGTTTGTTTCTACACAGATAATAATTGTACTTTTTACATAGGACAATCTTCAATACAATTTAAAAACTATTATAAACAAAACATAAATTCTAATACATTAAAATCTTTGTTTTCCTGTATCCCAACTTATTTTTGGTCTGTCATCCGTATCCCTAAACCTCCAAATAAAACAATCTCCCACAACATCTACGCCTACCACCAGCACTCCTATAATATCGCCCTCAATCACATTCAAACACCTATTTTTCTTTCATCATACATTATAATAACCATTCTTACATCTTCTGATTTCTCTCTCCTAAAAACGTACCCAAACCATCTCAGTTTATTCTCTCTTATCTTGCGAACGGTCGACACCACAATATTCTTCTTCTTACAGTCTTTACAGTTTACATATTCATTCCTTTTCCTATCTTCTTCCATCAGTCCACTCATTTATCTAAGCATTCTCATCATCTGCTCTATTTCCATGTCAACCAAACAATACAACATAATTGTTCTCACTACACTCTTATAGAATTCATCTTTCATTCACATTTAAAATAGATATAATGAACTATTAATGTTTAATAATTTATAGTACAGTAATATTTTCACGTTATTATTATTATTATAATATATTGATACATACAAAATAAAATTTTCTAAGATTACTACAAAATTAAAAATTATTATATTAATAACTATTACGTACGTTTACACTGTTACGTCTTGAGAATAAATAGATAAAGAGAGAGAGAGAAATGAGAATGCGAGTACAAATAAAAATTAAAAATCAATGATCATAATATTATATTAATATCATTAATATAATATTACTACAAAGTCATGAATGCTGGTTGAGTACTTGAGTATAAAGGGTGTGTCTTCTGATAATTGATAATATTGATAAATATTAATCGCTGATAGCGGTTTTCGCGTTGCCTTCCAACAATCAAAAATTTGGCCGCATGTCGTTATCAAAATTAGATAAGCCGTACAGGCCATCGTCAGTCTGGCTGTTCAGGCAACGCACCTAAGATAGTACTATACTACTATCTTAGAACTGCATATCACGTCATGTCGATTACGTATAATATTATAAAATTCAATATTAATTCTATGTCTAGAACGTCACTGTAGTATTATATAGGTAGATTTAGTAAATAATAAATTTATAACATTAAAAGAATAATAATAATGCAATATAAATATGTATTTTTGTAAAATGTAGGATTTTCCTACAAAAAGTTTATAGCATTGTTGGACGTAGGACAAATCAAACAAATGTAGTACAGTCCTGCCCAATGTAGGACGGTTGGCAACCCTAAACACAACACAGCAAGAAGATGGCAGCAAGCATGTTTCGATAATTCGGAAATAAATAATATAATAACGTATGCCAGACGTATGACCCCACTATGACAATAATATTAAATATTAATAATATATTATACGATTCGTCTTCACAAATCACAATAGATGATTTATATTTATGACGACAACGAACAATTCGTTTAGAGCCCGGTTAACTAGCAGCGCCTACCTAGTGGTAAATAGCCGAACTATATCACCGTAACAATTTCTGACCGCGGTTGTGCCATACAAACCTTATACCGACGCATAACCTGTTCTTTATAATCGTGGTCACTATACTCTGTTCAAAATGAGATGATGACTCGGCGGCCAAGTTGTGCGCATGGGCGTGGCTTTGTTCCATTGCAGCTAGGGACGTTCCGATATTATCGATATAAGTAAAGTATCGATATTTTTCTTTCGATACGAGTACTTTTTTTATCGATATAATTGTTTCAATACTATATTCATATCGATAACAAATTACTAGTATCGAATCATTTTTTTGTTATCTCTTATCAGTTTTCATTATCAGTTATCACTTATCAATATGAGATGACAATAATTAAATTATATTGACTG